CTTGACTGCTTCTGGAATGTGAATCAAATATAAAGAAACCATCTTGACAAGATAAGATAATCAAAGTACTTCCATATGCTTTCACACTAAAAATTATCATGTGAACTTCATTCTTCTTTAGCGGCTTCATGTCTATCTGCGTGCATTACAACAGCACTGCTTGGATTGCTCTGCTTCCATGTTGGTCCAGTTATGTTTTACACACATGGTGCGAATATGGAGGAATCAACCAGCATCATTAAAAATATATATTTGCAAGTGATCATCCTTACATATTATGATTAAAAGTATATGTAATTGACGATAACATATTAACGTGATGGGAAATTTAGACTGGTGTCAAATTGTGGGCACATACATTCCTGAATGAAGGCTTGAATACTAACACTGTCGAAGTCATCAAAGGCAAGAAGATGTAGGCCATAGAAAAAATGATTCATTTCAGTGAGTTTTGCTTGAAATGTTGCCATGCCTCTTTATACATACGCAGAAATTTTTCCCTAAATGTCTGCAGCATAAACAAACATTCTGTGGCTGCTCTGTCACTCATTGTATTTTTGTAAGAATTTTCAAACCTACATCATTTCCAGGCAAACCATTGTCCAATGCAGAACATATGGAGCTAATAGAAGTTCCAAAGTCCCAAGAGTATTTTCAGCCGATTTTGAAATCATTTCCCTCATTCCAAGCACATACATGTAGCTCGATCCCTCATTGTCATGCACTGTATACGCCATGACAATATCTCCATCTTTTCGAGTCTCATATGTTCCAAATGTTAAATTGTCATGTTTTATTAACTCTTCTAATTGTTTTGCGCTAGCAATAACCGTTCTCTATTCATGTTTGCGACAGTACGACCCGTAGTAGTATGATCTGAAATTTTCCCGATCATTTTCAGAACTGTCTGTCTCAATGACACTCCCTACATTTTCAAAACTAACATTATGGTCCAATAAAGAGTGCACACATTTCCTAACATCACTCTTGTAAGACATGGAACCAGCCTCACCATCCATCATTTTAACTGAGTCACTTTGGTGCTCTTTGAGCTTTGAACTGTATTGCAGGAGTTCCGTAATTCGTTTTTCTTGATCATTCACTAATCACATCGATTTCCTTCGACAGCTCTCCCGATCCCGCTGTTTTGCCTACATGCAATCCAGGCATGTTACTCCCATTCTGTAGGTCGATATTTGCCTGATCTTTTTGAGGTTATAAGACGTGATCCACAAACAATTTTGTTGGTTCTGATCTCGAAGGGAAAGCAAGTTTTTCCTATTTCCTTTGCTGCTTTTTAGTCCTGGTAGAGTTATGTACACCCGTCACCACAAACCAGTTCGTTGTTAATAATGACACAACCTCTCTTCAATGCTGCTTCCTTTGGATGCGATTCCTTCTCAGTGTATGGACATTTTACTTCAGCAACCCATCTACCACTACATGGTGGTACACTTACATGCTGCAACTGCATCTGGGCAGGCTCCTACATATCCACACTCATCTGTTACAACTAATCCCCTATCCGTAACAGAAAGTTTCTTGTGATTATTTCCTTCTACTTTGAAGTACTTTGGAAGTGCTGTCAGTGCTGGTAAATGCTCCATCTCTATTATTTGTTTTGCTAGTGCTCCTTTTTCCTTCTTTTCTTGATTGAATTGTGTCGCCAAAGTTCAATCCATACACATTGTTAAATGTAAACTACATTAATCCATAATCATTGATCCTTCTATAAACCATGATTGATATAAACTTCTATTTCAATCTGACTATCTTGATTATCTAAATACATTTTTCGATCTAAACTCACACATTAAATGCATACTGAGTAATTACAGAATTCAATCAAGGTCTCCTATCTCCACCAACTTGTTTATTTTTAGCTGTGTCCTCTTTAGGAAGTCTGAGGGCTTTTCCCCTTTGTCCTGGGACATACACATAAACTCGCTAAGGGTAAGGGACTTGTTCTCTACTGCGCCATACACATTGTCCAAAAAAGATACAAGTCCATGGACAGTGGAGCTTGGGAAAACTTGCCTAGCAAAATCTTTAGCAGGTCCGCAAAGCCTAGTGACGATCTCGCGCCTTTTTGTTTGCTCGTCAGTTGAGGCCATTGACGCAACCTCAATTGCGACATCCTTAAATGTCTCCCAGTCTACCTCACCTTGTTTTACTGGCTCTTTTCCTGAGAAGAGGCCAAGACGGGGGAGACATGGAGCATTAACTACGCCATGACTAGGGGCAGGTGGCGGGGAAGGGGAGCTGGGGGTAGGGGCAAGGGTGTGAACAGGGGGAGGGTTACCTATTGAACACCCTTTCACCAATTTTTCAAGTTGGGAAAGGCTAAGTCCAGACTCTGCCAAAAACTTACTCAAGGTGTCAGGGTCAGCACCAGAAGGTAGTTTATCTTCATCAGGGACAGGGGGAGGGCTGTCCTCGGAAGGCATATTACAATAAATTAAACCCTATACCAAATAGAAAACAAAGTAACGATACAAACAGTATAATCCAAATTTCAACAAATGCAGATAACACTGAGAAAACTTGATCCCTCTTTGTCATGCATTGTATATGCCATGAAAATGTCTCCAGCTTTTGGAGGCTCATCTGTTCCAATTGTTAAATTGTCATGTTTTACCAACTCTTCTAATTGTTTTGCACTAGTAATAACCGTTCTCTGTTCATGTTTGCGACAGTACGACCCGTAGGAGTATGATCTGGAATTTTCTGATCATTCTCAGAACTGTCTCAATGACATGCCCTACATTTTCAAAACTAATATTATGGTCCAATAAAGAGTACACACATTTCCTAACATCACTCTTGTAAGACATGGAACCAGCCTCACCATCCATCATTTGAACTGAGTCACTTTGGTGCTCTTTGAGCTTTACGTTGTATTGCAGGAGTTCCATGATTCGTTCTGCTTGATCGTTCACTAATCACATCGATTTCCTTTGACAGCTCTCCCGATCCCGCTGTTTCGCCTACATGCAATCCAGGCATGTTACTCCCGCTCTGTAGGTCAATATTTGCCTGATCTTTTTGAGGCAATAAGACATGATCCACAAACAATTTTGTTGGTTCCGATCTCGAAAGCAAGTTTTTCCTATTTCCTTTGATGCCTTTTAGTGCTGGTACAGTTATGTACACCCGTCACCACAAACCAGTTTGTTGTTAATAATGACACAACCTCTCTTCAATGCTGCTTCCTTTGGATGCGAATCCTTCTCAGTGTATGGACATTTTACTTCAACAACCCATCTACCACGACATGGTGGTACACTTACATGCTGCAACTGCATCTGGGCAGGCTCCTACATATCCATACTTCTCTGTTACAACTAATCCACTATCCTTACAAGAGAGATTCTTGTGATTATTTCCTTCTACTTTGAAGTACTTTGGAAGTGCTGCCTCCTTCCTTCTACCCCATGAGATGGCAGCTGGTAAATGCTCCATCTCTATTATTCGTTTTGCTAGTGTTCCTCTTCCTTCTTTTCTTGATCGCATTAGGGCATCAAAGTTTGAAGCTGTCAGTCGGGCTTTCCTCATGTTTTGCCACTGCTGTTCTGAAGCCTGGGCTTGTATTCAATTCAATTTCTCTCTCCCTCTGTGCTTTCAATTTGCTTTCTTTCCCTTTTTGGTTTTTCAACAGACTTTTGTGTTTTTTATGTTGTTCCTTGTTTTGTTTGAATAAGCTCATAACTTGATCTTGACATTATGCCCTTCAGCATACCTTCAAATTTTTCTGAAGAAAGACCATCTATATATTGTGACGTTTTGTTAAAAAGGAACATAATTTGTGCTTCATTAGTGATGGCAGCAACATTGGGTCTTTTTTTAGAAGGAAGTCGAGGTAACCAAAAATTCGTTCAGGTAATTTATTATGTTTTGGGGCCAAGGCTGTTTCACTTACGTACGTCTCATTTTCCTGTAGGTTATGATATTTTCCCCCTGGTAAATAGTCTTTTGTGACTCTTTCCAGCAGCTGGTGAAGTGCAATAAAGGTGTGCTTAAGCATGCTGCAAACTTCACCGTCATGTTCTGTTTTTTTTTACACTTCATCTTTAGACAGATATCCCTGTCTGGATCTGGAATGTTGGTGTACGTCTTTGGCTCCATAATTGGGTATACCACAAACCGCTTGGTACGCTTGTTCCAACGTCTTCCCCGCTTCAGTCTCCAATCTTTGGTCTTGGCCTGCTTTCTATCTGAATGGAAATTAAAGTTGAGCACTGCCAGCTTAGTCCTAGTGGTGTATCCTACCAATGAAAAGTAGTTCCGCTTCGGGGCATACATAACGGGTGTAGAGTGAAAGGACTCCAAGCTACCTGTGTGCAGAAAGTCCACGTAGTACGGCAGGGTCTTCATAAACCGCTTGTCCATGATGATTTCACGAAGCTTCTCATGTGGTGGACTTCCTGGTTGTAGCCAAGCTACTTCACGATCCTCTCCCAGAACTCCATGCTCACACTTTCTTGGTTGTCCATCCAGTGTTGACAACCACTCATGGTCATCCACGATGTGATGTAGGATGCCAGCCAGATTACCTGTCAGCTTCTCTGCATCACCTTCACAAGTCCGGCTTGAAAACCAGAAGTGGTTCTTGATATGTGGAACCCATGGCAGAAAGTCACGGCGTCCAGGAGTCTTTGTGGCCCTTTTTACATTCCCATATGATAATGATCGCCGTATCTCTCGACACAGATCGATATGCGAAGGGAGTATTGCATCGCACACTGAGTTTTCCATGTACTCTCTGGAGAAGTTCCAGAAGTTACTCATACCCTATGCATTTTTCCTCAGAAATAATCTCCTTCTCTTCTGACTCTTCTTCCCTGGGCGCCCCTACGACCTGTAATCTACCTGACCCCCTGGTGGGGATTCCCTGCAAGGAGGGTAATAATTGTCTGGTGGGGATTCCCTGAAAGGAGGATAATAATTGTCTCTACGCCGATACCTCGGCGGGTGGGGGGGGGGGCGGGTTCCCTGGAAGGCGGACAGTAATCGTCCCTATGCCGATACTTGGCTGGGGGCTCGGCTGGGGGTTCGCCCCCTCCAGCCCCTGGGGAGCTGGCCGGTTGCGGCGAGCTCCTTTCCTGCTTTGGCAAAGCCGTAGAACCAGCTATAGGCCCAGCTGGCCCTTCACCTGTAGGCGGGGAGTACACCGAATGTTCATAAGGAACGGGATCCCCACCCTGGACAGACTGTTTTTGCTCAGTCCCCTCTCGATAAGGCTCAAAATAAAAAAATTGTAAAAGCTCCTTGGCTTCATGGAGACGGGGACACTGCAAAAACAATTCCTCAGTCAAGTTCCCACATTCCTCCCTCCACTTCAGAATTTTGCCGGTCTTAATTTTATGTATAACCGTCAGAAAGGCCTCCTCATTACAATAATTAATTCTAACCTTCTGCGAGGCCATAATCGTCTTTATATTAGCAACGATTATATAACAAAATGAGGATGAAATTAAATACTACCCACGATTTAACCTAAACCCACCGATATATACAAAACAAGACTGACGGTCTACAAAGTCATGCAAATAAAAAAAATCCCACTTAGGTGCCTACCCAAACAATCATTCCTTTTTGCTTGCTTAATAACTTACTTAGTATCTTAAAGGAAAATACTTGCTTACTTAATAACTTACTTAGTTTCTTAAAGGAAAATATTTAAACCCTATATCTCAATGAAAAATACCGCAAAATGATCTCCGCGGTATAATGCTTCGGCGAGTGGGCCAAAAATTACTCCTACTTAGCTGCTTACAACCCTATGCCAAATATTTCTACTTAAACAACCCTATACCTCACCAAAACACCACGGAATGATCTCCACGGTATAATGCTTCGGCGAGTGGGCCAAAACTAATAACTCCTACTTACCAAGTTGTTTACTCAATCCTACTTTAAACCACCATATAACCCCACCGAAAAAACACAGTGAAATTATCTCCACGGTACAATGCTTGGCGAGATGACCGTAAAAACTATCCTAACAAGATTAGTATAATGAAGATGAATGAAAGTGAAATTAAGATTGCTCAATCAACTCTGATACAATTGAATAAAAATTAAAAAAATAAATAACACGGAACGTAACAATAACCAGTATGCAAATATCACAATGCTAACCTAGTCTGTCCGGGATTGCACAAAAAAACACTTGCAGAATATATTCTTTCTAAAGCTAGATCGAGAAAAACAAACAAACAGAAAAGACAAAAAAAAATTAGCAGTCAATCACAACTATACTAACCATACACCCTGCACCATAATAATTGGGAACTTAATCACCAATATCACATTAAAATTCCACCTTAAACACGGTTAAAATCCCTAAACTCTACAAACTAACCTGAGACTAGGCCAAGAAATATTGTATTCCCGTCCTCCGGTCAAGATACAGACTACGGTAATATTTATGAAGTACATGTATTTTCATGAGAAACATGAGTTGTAGGTTGAGAATGGACAGGTGTCACAGGACTATTGAATGAGGGGAAATAGAGTGAGTAGCAGAGGATTTGATTTGATGTTTAAAGGCCTTGGACGCTTGCCGCCACCTTACAGTGTACTCCATCCATCCAATGTAGAGAGTAATGGGGTTTATGATAGCTGCTTCGAATGCTTCAATGGTAGTCAGACACTGACCTCATCTCCCTTTTCATGCTGTCCCCACCTTTGTGTACAGCTCCAATCCTGATACGTTTTGGATGCAAGGAAGGTGCTTTCGCTCGGCCTCCTAAAGATGTCTTGTGCTGTCAGCATTGATGAGGCGCAGGCCAGTGGTATCTGTGAGGTCCCACATTGCATCCAGGAGTTTCTGGATGGAGCAGCGTGTCCTTTCAACTCCGCGAGTTCTCCTCTTGCAGTGTTTGGCCAGCTCCGCAGTGGAGATGTTTGCTGAAACTTGTTTCTCAGTAGGCTCATGGCTACCGAACTCCTTTTTAAGCTGTTCTCTTTTTGCTTTTCGGAGTTGCCAAATGTCATCCTCATCCCACTCGAAGATTGCGCTGGAAAGCCTCGAGCAGAATGCACCATAGAGAGGATGGTGCAGATATATTGCAGCAATCTGTATCCACGTATATGACATTGGGCTCTGGCTCACCGGGATCTTGATATCTTTTTACAATACCTTGACACATCTCTTTCAAACCAGCCCCCTCCTGTAGTCAAAACGCTGTTTAAGATTTCGCCATACTCGTTGCCTACATTTGACATCCATCCAGGCAGCAGTGCCATCAATGCCACCGGCCAGCTTCTTGGTGATTTTCTTGGTGGAGTCCAACTTGTGAATTCTACCATAGGTGGAGGTGATGACCCCTTGCATCTCCTGCACAGGCTGGACGATCTCGTTTCCATGAACCGTCTCAAACCACTGTGCAAGAGGAACTGGACGATAAGCTGGAGGTGGTCAATAGACAGTGACAGTAGTCACAAGCCTGCTTCCTCTTTTGTGAAGTTCACAATCAGACCTTCAGGTATTGAAGGGCACGTCTTCCCCACTCCTCACTGTGAATTTCCTCCAAACTCTGCCTCAGGTAGCTTGAACTGTTTCCTGCCGTCCTGGGTTTCATGAGGAATCGTTAAGAATCGGTTGGGAATTTGGTGGAGTCCTCCTCCTCTGAAGAGACTTAGGGGATCTCCAGGCAGCATATGCAGTCTCCTGCAGTGAATGATGGCTCTACATGGCAGTGCATGGCCACCACTCAGGCACCTGTATGAATCAAAACAAAAGGAGAAAGAAAATCAGCATCTCATTTTTTTTCTTCATCTACATCTACGTACTTACACAAAACATCTAGAAATATATATCATTCAACTCTCTCAATTTTTTTTTTATAAATTCCCTTTATTTTCTGTTATATTCCTAAATCTATTATGATTCCTTATCAAGTCAATATTCTGGGTAAAATTAAAATACATATACATGCAATGTGATGCGTTCGATGTGCCAAGTTTCTAAGTGAAACTTTGCATTCTCAATGGAGGGCCTTAACCTCATTGTAAATAACCCCACAACATTTAGCACATGGTGAATCTTTGTCATGCATCTTAGTTGAAACTTCATTCCTACTTGTAGTTTGTCTTGGCTCAACTATCTTTGCAGCATTTGTTGTGTCTTTAGATTCGGCTTTACCACCTCTTTTTTTCATTTTCTTCATCTCATCTTTTTTGTTCTTGGGTAGTAAATCACCTGAACAGTTACTTGTAGACTCTACTGAGGTGGTACTTTGTCAACTGATCGACTGGATTGTGCTCTGCTACTTCTATCACTCACTATTGAGTCTGTCTGATCCGCCATATTGGAAAAATCTCAGCCGAGTCTAGTCAGCTAATTCCACTGCTATTTCACTAGTTATAATGAACACATTGCAGTTGTATTTCAAAATAATGAATGACAATAGAGAAACAATAGCCCTTACGGTATCTGTACATCGATTTTAGCAGAGTGATGTCCAACTAGGAATCCAGTATGTGGGACCAGGGTGACCTTCCATGTAAAGATGCAGGGTGATTCAGAAAATGACATCAAAATATCTGTTTGGATACTGTAAAATATCCCTCCAAAATCATCAATCAGGGTCATCAGAATGTAAATAACATGATAATGTCTATAAAAGGACAAATTCCAGTGTGATTATAGAGATGAAAATGGATTACGCAGATACCTTTCAGACTATTAAAGTCGCCCTGATCTACAGATCATAGGCTACGATGTATAACGTCTTAAATACTACAAAGAGACAAAGAACAGCACTTACCGGTATAAAGCTCGGAGTGTCTCTCAAGTCTGTACCAGTCAGTGTATAGCAGTTCTCAATCTGTCGTCCCAGTGCAAGAAGACTAATGGCGCCCTCTTGTGGTAGGAGCTTGTAAGAGCTTGTAAAAGCTTGTATGGGGGTGGGGGCAATTCCTACTACACTATTTTCAGACTCCCCTAATAATACATTATCACCAGGTCCTGAGCCAAGAGGTCAAAAACCTCATTAATGTGATGGATAGAACCTTCACATGGCAGGTAAACAGCTCCTAATATATAATCAAATCCTAAATTCTTCTTATCAATATGAATCCACAAAACAGACTCGGAAGTAGTACCAAAAATTATTGTTGTGTATGGGAATAAGTCATCACACACCAAAATGCAAAGACCGTTAAAACCACCTAACCTACCATTATCACTTTCCTTTACATAACTATGGAAATTTGAAAGATGAGTGCAGAATAAATCAGAGTTTGTTTTAGTTTCTGATAAACAAATGATGCTGTTATCTTTCAAAATGAAATCCAGAATGCCAGCCTTAAGTTTACTTTGAAGTCCGTTGACGTTCAGGCTACAAATAGATAGAATTGGCAATTTTTCTTTCCAAAGAGGGTAAAACAAGGTTAACATTTCACATTCATCACTCGCTGCTCTTGGGTGGCCATCAAAGATAATCAAAAAATGAATGAAGCTTTCCTAGCGAATCTGTCTTTTGAATTTTTGATGTAACATTCATAATGGGTGGACACCAATTGAAGGATTATTAGAATTTCATAAAAATAATCATATCATTCCATTAAAAAAAGTTTGGCTTTTGATTGCAGCCATCATTCCCTTCGAAAATGAAGAGGAGGACAGAATAGGAAGAGAAAACTGCAGAGCACACGTGTTAGCAATGGGGATCTCTGCAGTATGGATGTTGGATATTGCCTGTCCCTGTGGCTCAAGATGATCTCTGGTTTCTCAATGAAACCAACTGTTGGAATCTGCTTAGGCTCATCGAAGAACATGGCTAATAGGCCATGTTCCACAGGTGCAGATGGAAGCTGCTTAGGTTGCTGGAGGGGCTGAACTTGCTCCCCCATATCCACCCCCTGTGGTAGAGAATCCCGATCGGCCTTCTTCTGTCGCTTGTGTAACATACATGTAGAAGAAAAATGAATAATAAAAATAATATAATTCCATTGAAAAAAGTTTAGCTTTTGATTGCAGCCATCATTCCCTCCGAAAACAAGGAAAAGGATGACAGAATAGGAAGAGAAAGCTGCAGAGCACACGTGTTAGCAATTGGAAACTCTGCGGTATGGATATGTGCAATCGCAATGCTATCCCTGTGGCGGAAGATTCAGCAATGTATGGAAACTTTGTGCTAATCCACAAGCCTGTATCCTCGCATGTTAGATTTGAGTTCTTACATTTCAGTCGATGGTAGGCAATGTATTGTTTGATAGCTATCTTCTCCTGACTCTTTCTCTACTAAAGAAATGAACATATGATGCTGATCCATAGTACCCCATCACTCGTGAAATTATAGAGTGAATTTTTGAATTATTGATGTAACATTCTAAATGGGTGGACACCAAAGGTTGTTTGAGTTTCATAAAAATATTCATATTATTCCATTGAAAACAAAGTTGGGCTTTTGATTGCAGCCATCATTCCCTCCAAAAACAATGAAAAGGAGGACAGAATAGGTAGCGAAAGCTGCAGAGCACAAGTGTTTGCAATGGGGAACTATGCGGTTTGGATGTAAATGTAGGCAATTGCAATGCTGTCCCTGTGGCGGAAGATGATCTCGGGTTTCTCAATAACACCAACTGTTGGAATCTGCTTCATGGATTTTTTAAATTTAAGCATGGATGCCCACCTCAGCCCGCAGACTGTTCTTCTGTAGGACCGTGCACATACATAAAAAACATACAATATCAAAATAACATATATACAACATATTACAACATAATAATGATAAAATAAATATATACAAAACAAATACAACATACACTAAAAATACATATGAAAATGAAATATTTAAAGGGGGACGGGGACTACTCTCTTGGCAAGCTTTTGTCTCGCCAGCATATCCCGCTTGAATCGTATAGAGACTGTAGACTATGTTTATTCAAGCATAAAGACGAAGCACACGTTCTAAGATATTTGGACGTGAAATCTCTATGCGCATGTAGTTCCCAGAGAGTTCTGCTCTGAAAAGTGAGAGCGTGACCAATCAATCATATATATACATGTATATATATATATATATATAAATGCTAGCCTTCTATGACTCCCTTTTGTACTTTGAGCATGGTACCGTTGAGCAGGATAATGGATGTTGGAGAGGTTCACTCGCATGTGTTACTTAGTGAGCTGCCTTATAGATATTTCAATAGGTTTGTACTTATCCTCTTCAGGAAGACAAACCTGAAGACATCCAGAAGATATAAGTACAAATTTATCAAAATGTCAAGCCCTTACAGAATTTCAATCAGAATGTAGAAAATAACAGAAATCAACAAAAAACAAATACACATCTAGCTTTTAACGACATTATGCCAGTCATTATTACTGAGTCTTTCTTCCAAGTCCTCATCAAGAATGCTGGCATCCTCCTCAACGTCACCTTCTGGGCGATTTGGTTTGAATTGATATGGTTGCACGCCAAGTACAGGGGCAGCTGCAACTGCACCCAAAATTTCATCTTCATGTAGACATATGAATGAACATCTAGTTCGAGAGTTTTGCCCTCTTGAAGAGTTTTCTTTCATAAGAAAGCATGTTTCTCACTGCTTCCCTAAGAAAATACGATAATAATTTAATATAAATTAAAATAATTTAACTTCATTAGGAATTTCATTATCTGTGAAAGGATAAGAAAATCACTTCCCCCGACTTCTTTCTCCTTGGATGAGTCCATTGTTTGCATACCAGTTTTTGAGATTTGTGAATTTTTGTGGCCCAATCTCCATCAGGTAGCTGTGCTGTTCTAATAATGCGACGGAAAAGACAGTTACTGCTTTCAAAACAATAAAATAATCAATGGAATTAAATTAAGATGCTTTAAAAAATAAATGGATATCGTTTCAGTTGACGGTAGGTGTTTTTATCGCTCTAAAATTGAGGCTGCAAGAAAGGAATCACGCTTCGTGGTACCGATCGGGTGCGTTCAGAAACGGAAGTGGAAATAGATCTATGACCCACTGAAGACAGAGCAAGAAAATGCCACACACAAGACTAAAATGTTGATCAGACTATTGCAATTAAATCGTAATACTAAAGGCATTAATTTAATTGTCAAAATATATCCACAACATAATGGTTTACCCTTGATAGTTTGATGAAGGAAAATAAATTAAAGCTCTTGAAATAACATCGAAGTGCCTTTCGTTCGTTCTAAAAATGCGTGTATAACGGCAAGCAGAAGTTACGAGTCAAGCTTGAAATGCACGTTTACATCCCTACACCGTCATCCGACCTGATCGGAACAATAAGCATTAAACCAATTAAAAAACATCACGGAAGACTTTAAGGGACTCCAATTCAACAAAATTACTGTAAAATAACGAAGCACACGTTCTAAGATATTTGGACGTGAAATCTCTATGCGCATGTAGTTCCCAGAGAGTTCTGCTCTGAAAAGTGAGAGCGTGACCAATCAATCATATATATACATGTATATATATATATATATATATTAAATGCTAGCCTTCTATGACTCCCTTTTGTACTTTGAGCATGGTACCGTTGAGCAGGATAATGGATGTTGGAGAGGTTCACTCGCATGTGTTACTTAGTGAGCTGCCTTATAGATATTTCAATAGGTTTGTACTTATCCTCTTCAGGAAGACAAACCTGAAGACATCCAGAAGATATAAGTACAAATTTATCAAAATGTCAAGCCCTTACAGAATTTCAATCAGAATGTAGAAAATAACAGAAATCAACAAAAAACAAATACACATCTAGCTTTTAACGACATTATGCCAGTCATTATTACTGAGTCTTTCTTCCAAGTCCTCATCAAGAATGCTGGCATCCTCCTCAACGTCACCTTCTGGGCGATTTGGTTTGAATTGATATGGTTGCACGCCAAGTACAGGGGCAGCTGCAACTGCACCCAAAATTTCATCTTCATGTAGACATATGAATGAACATCTAGTTCGAGAGTTTTGCCCTCTTGAAGAGTTTTCTTTCATAAGAAAGCATGTTTCTCACTGCTTCCCTAAGAAAATACGATAATAATTTAATATAAATTAAAATAATTTAACTTCATTAGGAATTTCATTATCTGTGAAAGGATAAGAAAATCACTTCCCCCGACTTCTTTCTCCTTGGATGAGTCCATTGTTTGCATACCAGTTTTTGAGATTTGTGAATTTTTGTGGCCCAATCTCCATCAGGTAGAAAAAGGTATACCGACAGATCCGTTTTTGCCCATAGCAAAAATTCTTCATCCTCATATTTGTCCTTTGCGTTGGCTTAGATTTCTTCCCCTGGGTCACATTGCCATCATTGATGGAAGACTGGAAGATAAAATGATGCCCAGGAGAAGTAGATCCTTTTCAAACTCCGTGAGCTCTTTGGTGGAATATCTTCACGGTCTGCTGATTAAATACGAGTAAATAGTGACAGATCCAACATATACCTTATGGACTCTTGTTCGGCTACAGAGAATTGTTCAATACAGCGTCTTCCATTGAAGATACGGCAGTTGCATTTGTTCACGCGGTCCTTCAGCGGTTCAAGATCAATATCTATGAAAATACTTTAGCACCATTGTGGGCAGCAGCATAAAACAAAATGAAATTTAAAACAATCGGTATTTAGCCAACGCACACCTGCCTGGTGATAAGGTTGTTGTTCTGCTGACATGTCCAGCAGAGATCCGTGGCCGGCTTGGCACAACCACATAGGAAAGGAGGTCGCTCCACAGCTTACGGAAGGTAAACTCAGCTACGGGTCCATGCTCTGGAGCAGCATCTCTGTAGAGCCTCCACAGATGCGCCTGGGTGACGTAGGACGGCAGCAGTTTCACAACGGCCGATTTGAATCCTGGTTTCCTGCCTGGTAGGTGAATGCAGTGTTCTGCAGTGTAGTTCAAAAATAAATTTGACGACCGCCTCAACCTGCTCTAGCTTTAGAAGTTTCTTGCCTCTTCGTCCTCCTGGAAAACAACGAACAAATATTGAACAAAAGTAAGATTTATCATGATCAGTATTGTGTTGGAATAGATTGAAACAGTAAGTAGATCATTTGTCTGCAGAGAACAACCACAGACCACACGTCTTGCACCCCTCCCCCGCCTCATGCATGCCCTGAAATTGGAATAAGAACACATGCACTCACACAACACAAATATTATTTTGATGAACATTCTCTTGATCATGTAGCATACACACCTTTGGTTTTGCACGGCAACATTTTTAGAGACACATCTGCATCGGTCATGTCCACTGAAATCTCAGTTATACTCGATCCCCCAACTCTCCAGGAGTTGTCCTCCCCTCTGTGCCCCCCGAACTGACAATCCTCCTCAGATCACATGTCCCAGTCATCAAGGCAAAATGCCCTTCAGCTGGGTAAGATTCACCTAGCTTCCATATCCACTATAATCTCTGTGAGACTTGATCCCGCATCTCTCCAGGAGTTGTCCTCCCCTCTTTTGGCGCCCCCCGAACTGACAATCCTCATGCATGCTTTAATTTTCAGTAGTCCCTCCAGGTAACTCATCTACTGCCAGGACATAGCATTTGTCCTTGCTGGTAACATGAATACTATTGACGTGGGTTCCTTCCTGTGTTGTTGCATCAAAAGCAATTGTCAGGTTGTCTTCGTTAACAAGCAACTCGGCACTCATTATGTCCGAGATAACACCTATCTCTCTACACATAAGTTCTACTGTGTTTCTGTGTGGAACATGATTAATTGTTATCCCTGCTCTCTTGCCGAACTGTTTGATTAGATTTGGAACATTCTGTGTTGGCACATTGTTCACAAGAGAGTCGTAAACAAACATCCTAATTGTATTAGGGTACTTTTTCCCCTCTTTTATAAAGTCTGAAGAACTTGTCGGTTCATTTTCATATGATCGGATTGTCTCCTTCAATCTGCAATTTTCATCTTCCAGTTGCTGAATAGTTGTCTTCTTTTCACATAGCTCATTTTTCAAGTCACTGACCTTTGCATTCCTTTTGGTTTCTGGTTTATATGAAGCATTAGACATTCGCTTTACAGCTCGCTTCTGGTTTCTTGTTGCATTTTTTGCTTTTTTTTTTCATTTTGTTTAGTTCTTCCCCTACAATTGTGCTAGCTAACTGAGACCGGAGCAATGCTATTGTTGCATCCCTTTTAGCGAGCATCGTTTTCTGGCGCATCACATATTGGTTTAGATATTTGACTTCTGGAAATTTATCTTCGATCTCAGTTTTGACACTTTTCGTTTATACTGTTGTTTCATTTCAACTTTAGATTTTGTTACAAAGTTGGGCTTTTGATTGCAGCCATCATTCCCTTTCAAAAACAATGAAAAGGAGGACAGAATAGGTAGCGAAAGCTGCAGAGCACAAGTGTTTGCAATGGGGAACTATGCGGTTTGGATGTACATGTAGGCAATTGCAATGCTGTCCCTGTGGCGGAAGATGATCTCGGGTTTCTCAATAACACCAACTGTTGGAATCTGCTTCATGGATTTTTTAAATTTAAGCATGGATGCCCACCTCGGCCCGCAGACTGTTCTTCTGTAGGACCGTGCACATACATAAAAAACATACAATATCAAAATAACATATATACTAGGCCTGAGTCATCACGGGTTTTGCCGAACCCGGGTTTGACTTGAAAATTTCGGGCGGGGACCGGGTACCCGAAATTTTCACCATTGCACTGACACTAAAAATCGTGTGCATGCAGCGGCGGGAGTTAGACTAAGTTGCTGTTCTAATAATGCGACGGAAAAGACAGTTACTGCTTTCAAAACAATAAAATAATCAATGGAATTAAATTAAGATGCTTTAAAAAATAAATGGATATCGTTTCAGTTGACGGTAGGTGTTTTTATCGCTCTAAAATTGAGGCTGCAAGAAAGGAATCACGCTTCGTGGTACCGATCGGGTGCGTTCAGAAACGGAAGTGGAAATAGATCTATGACCCACTGAAGACAGAGCAAGAAAATGCCACACACAAGACTAAAATGTTGATCAGACTATTGCAATTAAATCGTAATACTAAAGGCATTAATTTAATTGTCAAAATATATCCACAACATAATGGTTTACCCTTGATAGTTTGATGAAGGAAAATAAATTAAAGCTCTTGAAATAACATCGAAGTGCCTTTCGTTCGTTCTAAAAATGCGTGTATAACGGCAAGCAGAAGTTACGAGTCAAGCTTGAAATGCACGTTTACATCCCTACACCGTCATCCGACCTGATCGGAACAATAAGCATTAAACCAATTAAAAAACATCACGGAAGACTTTAAGGGACTCCAATTCAACAAAATTACTGTAAAATAATTATTTGCTTTGACAAATAATACTATAGATATTCATAATATCTTACAGAAATAATGATATTTCATGAGCTACGTACTCGATATCGAGTTCAGCTAGCCATCATTTTGAAATGAGACGTAGTTGTCATGCAGTAGACTGTAGAGGGCAGTATGCAGAAGAGAGAGGAAAAAGCGCGGGCCTGAGATCACGTGATATTCACGTGACTATTACGTGATTTTTTTTTCCCTCTCTAGCTGCGAGCTGCCACATTCTGCGCTGCATGCATGACAACTACGTCTCATTTCAAAATGATGGCTAGCTGAACTCGATATCGAGTACGTAGCTCATGAAATATCATTATTTCTGTAAGATATTATGAATATCTATAGTATTATTTGTCAAAGCAAATAATTATTTTACGGTAATTTTGTTGAATTGTCAATTGAATGATCAATATTTTGGTCTTGTGTGTGGCATTTTCTTGCTCTGTCTTCAGTGGGTCATAGATCTATTTCCACTTCCGTTTCTGAACGCACTCGATCGGTACCACGAAGCGTGATTCCTTTCTTGCAGCCTCAATTTTAGAGCGATAAAAACACCTACCGTCAACTGAAACAATATCCATTTATTTCTAAAGCATATTTATTTGATTATATTGAAATATAAGTTTGTGAATTCCATATTTTTAGTTCTATATTTCAAAATATCAGTGTGAAATTTAATTTTGAAAAACCCGAAACCCGAAAACCCAAAAACCGGGTTTCAGCTCGACGGTCGGGGCCCGGGCGGGGACCCGTTTCGACTCAGGCCTAATATATACAACATATTACAACATAATAATGATAAAATAAATATATACAAAACAAATACAACATACACTAAAAATACATATGAAAATGAAATATTTAAAGGGGGACGGGGACTACTCTCTTGGCAAGCTTTTGTCTCGCCAGCATATCCCGCTTGAATCGTAAAGAGACTGTAGTCTACGTTTATTCAATCATAAAGATGAAGCACACGTTCTAAGATATTTGGACGTGAAATCTCTATGCGCATGTAGTTCCCAGAGAGTTCTGCTCTGAAAAGTGAGAGCGTGACCAATCAATCATATATATACATGTATATATATATATATATATATTAAATGCTAGCCTTCTATGACTCCCCTTTTGTACTTTGAGCATGGTACCGGTGAGCAGGATAATGGATGCATAGAAAGTCTCACACATAATCACATTATCACTCGTTATAGAATCAATTATCTTGTCATTAATCCAAGCTGGAGCTTGCAAAGATTGAAAGTCTCTCAGCTCCAGCGTCTCCCCATAAATGATCCAACGCTGGTCGGCACTGAAGGATGCTAGGGATTTTTCTTTCATCTCTTCCTTGAGTTCAGGGAGACTTGCTGCTGTAATGTACAATACAGCGATCGATAGCCTGTGACTATAGGCGCCAGGCTTGACCGGTTGATCGCGATCGCGGCTGAGCTGAGCTGCCTTAGCTGGCAGGCCATTGTTTTTCTGTTTTGCTAGAGCAGACAAGATTATACGTGAATTAAAATGAGTAAATTAAGTTTTCAAAGAAATTACCAATCATTATTCCCAAGCCTCCCATCAATATCTTAATCGTTGTTGAAGTCCGGAGCGTCATCCCCCTCGTCTGAATCTTCATCGGAATCAGAAATTTCTGGCTCGAACATGTACAGCTGCGCTCCTATATGCTCTTCTACCTCTTCTTGATTTTCCAAATGATTCTCCAAATCAGACAAATCGGATCCTGAATATGTGTCTTCGTTGTCTGACGAAGAAGCCATTGTTGATTTGGGATACAAAAATACTAAAATGAAGGTCTACTTATAGTTTGAAGTCTGATTCACTCTGATGGATCTACACAAAGTTCTACCGCTAACAAACACACTTTCAGCTTTCTTGAAAGCTGGCGTTCGGTGTATGACGTCATCGATCGATGGACCGATTATCCAAATTTTTAGGGGCGTCTAGTTCCCAATTATTTTTTTCTTTTCAAGTTTACA